AATAAAAATGAGTCACAGAAAAAGGAAACTTTATTAACTTTCTCTCTCTCTCTCTCTCTCTCTCTCTCTCTCTCTCTCTCTCTCTCTCTCTCTCTCTCTCTCTCTCTCTCTCTCTTGCTCCTCTCCTTCCCCTTTTCTCTTATTCCTCACTTTCCTATCTGTCCTCTCTCTCTCTCTCTCTCTCTCTCTCTCTCTCTCTCTCTCTCTCTCTCTCTCTCTCTCTCTCTCTCTCTCTCTTGCTCCTTCCCCTTTCCTCTTATTCCTCACTTTTCTATCTTTTCTCTCTCTCTCTCTCTCTCTCTCTCTCTCTCTCTCTCTCTCTCTCTCTCTCTCTCTCTCTCTCTCTCTCTCTCTCTCTCTTGCTCCTTCCCCTTTTCTCTTATTCCTCACTTTTCTATCTTTTCTCTCTCTCTCTCTCTCTCTCTCTCTCTCTCTCTCTCTCTCTCTCTCTCTCTCTCTCTCTCTCTCTCTCTTTCTCTCTCTCCCTTTCCCTCTCCCTCTCCCTCTCCCTCTCCCTCTCCCTGTCTCTACTCCTTTGTCTCTCTTGCTTCTTCTTCGCCCCCTTACACTCTATCTCTTTGAAGCTTTTGACCCCACTTAGTGCTTGATAATGTAATTAAATCGTATTATATATCTGAAAGCTTTTATTGGACTACGACAAACCTTTGTTTTATTCAACATTTCATTATTTTCATTCGTTGCTTGTTCTTTCACCTTTCATGTAGGCGCATTTATTTAATCTTTCATCATTTATTCCATTATTCTGTCTACGTTCATTTTTTTTTTTAATAGTTCATACCGCAAACGCCGTCTTTTCTCTCTCTCCCTCTCTCTCTCGCTCTCTCTCTCTCTCTCTCTCTCTCTCTCTCTCTCTCTCTCTCTCTCTCTCTCTCTCTCGCTCTCGCTCTCGCTCTCGCTCTCGCTCTCTCTCTCTCTCTGTCTCTCTCTCTCTCTCTCGCTCTCGCTCTCTCTCTCTCTCCATCATCATCATCATCATCACTTCCCCCTCCCCACCACCTCCCCCCTCCATCAACCCCCAATAACCTTCCATAATCCCCAGACCGGATCCTCCCCCCCCCCTCCTTTTCCCTATTACCCATCCAGCCCCCATTCGCCACTAACACCCCACCCCCCCCAACCCAGAACCCCTCTTAAGTCCTCTTTCTCTCGCCATCAACCTGACAAGAGTTCAAGCAGGGCATTCTGAGAGCCATTCTCCGAGGAATGCCTGATGGCAGGTGGCGGGGGAGGGGAAGGAGGGGATGAGGGTGATGGGAGTGATGGGGGTACGTTGTTGGGGGGAAGGGGGGGAGGACAGGTGGGGAGGGGATGGGGGTACTTTGTTGGGGGGGAAAGGAGTGAGGGGGAAGGGGGGGGTGAGGGGAAGGAGGGGATGGGGGTGATGGGGGTACGTTGTAGGGGGGGAAAAGGAGTGAGGGGGAAGGGGGGGTGAAGAGGACAGGTGGCGGGGGAGGGGATGAGGGTGATAGGGGTACGTTGTTGGGGGGGAAAGGAGTGAGGGGGAAGGGGGGGGTGAAGAGGACAGGTGGCGGGGGAGGGGAAGGAGGGGATGAGGGTGATGGGGGTACGTTGTTGGGGGGGAAAGGAGTAAGGGGGAAAGGGGGGGGTGAAGAGGACATGTGCCGGGGGAAGCGAGGGAGCAGAAATAGAGGAAGAAAACAAGGTCAGGGAAGGATAAAAGAGATAAGAGGAGAGGAGAGGAATGGAATAACGGAGAGACACTAAGGGAGGACAGAAGTCAAAGTGAGGGGAAAGGGGAAATTCAAAGAGAGGAGAGCTGTGTAAAAGGAGGGGAAAGGAGTCAGGATAAGGGGAAGAAGGGCAGAGGAGGGGAAAGAAGGGCAGAGGAGGGGAAAGAAGGGCAGATGAGGGGGAAGAAGGACAGAGGAAGGGAAAGGAAGGCAGATGAGGGGAAAAGAGTCAGGGTAAGGGAAAAGAGGGCAGAGGAGGGGAAAGGAGGGGAGAGGAGTGCAGAGGAGGGGAAGGGAATCAGGGTAAGGAAAGGGAGGGCAGCGGAAGGGGAAAGGAGGGTAGAGGGGAAAGGAGTCAGGGTAAGGGAAAGGAGTGCAGAGAAGGGCAGAAGAGGGAAAAGTAGGGCAGAAGAAGGAAAAGGAGTCAGGGTAGGGGGAAGGAGGACAGAGGAAGGGAAGTGCGAGGAAAGAGAAGATCAAACAGAAGTTAGGGATTGTGAAGACAGCGGCGGCGGGAGGGGAAAGGACAGAGGTCATCAGAAGAGTAAGCGGGGGAAGGGGGGGGGGGGGTAATAAAAGGAAAGTACCAGGAAGAGAGACGACAGGGACGTCGGATTCAGGAGACAGGGATCAGTAGAGAGGGGGGAGGAGGAAGAAAGAGGGGAATAAAAGTGAGGGAAGAAAAAGGAAAGGGGGGGGAGAGAGAGCTGATGGGGGAGGTGGAGGGGGAAAGGGAGGGGGGAAAGGGATGGGAAGGGGAGAGGAGGGAGAGAGGGGGTAGTAATCTTCCTCCACGCGTTCTTCACTCTTGACAGAACCGGTATTTCACAGAAAATATAAAAATGGACAAGGATCCCTTTCTCCCCTCTCTCCCCCCCCCCAACTCCCACGCCCACACACGCCCACGCTCCAGACTGCCCGCGTCTATCTTCCTCATTTTCTCCCCCAACTCCCCTTCCTCTCCCCTCTAACTTGTTCCTGTTCTGAAACTTTAAAGATGATATCAGTAACGATAATAGCAATAATAACAGCAACTGTAATAAAAGTGGTAATGATGATGATGATGATAGCAAGATTAATAATCATGACAAGAGTAACTATGATGATGACACTCATAACAATGATGATATCAATTTGATGATTATAATAAGAAAAAGAAGACCCATGACAGCAGCATCAGTAATGATAATAACAGTGACAACAACAATAAAATCGATAACAAACATTATCAGTATTATCTTTATAATTACTATTACTATTATTTTTACAATCATTATTATTATCATTAATATTCTATCATTATCACTATCATCATTATCATCCTAATTATTGTTATTACCATTATCATAATTGGCATGATTATTATTATCGTTATTATTATTATTATCATTATCATTACTGCTATCATTACCATTGTTATTATTATTATTATTATTATTATTATTATTATTATTATTATTATTATTATCATTATTATTATTATTATTATTATTATTATTATTATTATTATTATTATTATTATTGTTGTTGTTATTATTATTATCATCATTATTATTATTATTATTTTTATTATTATTATTATTATTATTTGTATTATTATCATTATTATTATTATCATCCT